GTGTGGGTGTGTATTTGATTCAGATGAAGGGTTATCTTCTTCCCTGCTGATGAAGTATAAAATACTTTATTATGGGGTTCCATTCTCCAGGCGCGCAACAACAATTCTCCAGGAATGAATTGAACAAATCTGAGGAAGGATTTCTGATTAACGTTTCAAAGGCTCTGGCAAAACAGCTGACAGGGAAGGCGCAAAATACGTGCTGAAATTAACCTACTAATTGTATTTTACACTGGCTACATTGTACAGTTTAGGCAAATGTTTATCAGCCAATTCCTGAAGGGGCTGCAATGGTCTGGAGGCTATTTACGCATGTGGTGGGAATGTCCAGTCATTCAAGTGTCCCGGTAAAAGGTATTTCAGGAAGTCTCTGCTATAGCGCAACAACTTATTCATGTAGACACCAGACTAGCTTTATTGCCTATATTTCATGACAGAATGCCAAACATGTTATATAAAGAGCTAATCTTTTTTCTTACTTGCAGCTGCCCATATGGAAGTTGCTAAGCATGGGTGATACCACACACATTTTACTCTACCAGGTTGGTGAAGTATAAAAGGTAAAAGGTAAAGGACCCCTAGACCGTTAAGTCCAGTCAAAGGCGACTATGGGGTTGCAGAGCTCATATCGCTTTCCGAGGGAGCTGGCGTTTGTCCACAGACAGCTTTCCGAGTCATGTGGCCTGCAGGACTAAACCGCTTCTGGTACAACGGGACACCGTGACGGAAATCAGAGCTCATGAAACGCAGTTTACCTTCCCGCCACAGCAGTACCTATTTATCTACTTGCACTGGTGTGCTTTCGAACTGCAAAGTTGGCAGGAGCTGGGACAGAGCAACGGGAGCGCACCCCATCACGGGGATTCGAACTACCGACCTTCTGATCGGCAAGTCCAAGGCTCAGTGCACAGCGCCACCTGCATCCCTAGGTGAAGTATAATATAGGGATTGGCTGAGGCAAAGAAATTAACAGAGTTCAATAGACAAGCTACAGGAGTCAAAATGCGGAAATCTTTCTCCATTACCTGGTACCCCTTCACTGTTTATATTTACAAACAAGATGGTAAAAGACCTCCTCCTGTTTCACAAAGACCTTTGCGGTCAGAAGTAATTACTAAGCATTTCTGGTCACTGGTTTGATAACAGCATAACCTATTATGCCTGCTTTATTTTATCATACATAATGCATTATGTCTCATTTGTGAGAGTTTATGATATTGAATGTGACGTTGAAAAAGGTAATTACTAAAGTGTGTATATATACATGCAATAAGCAATAACTTTTGAAACTTGTTTTCAAAACATTCATGAATTTAGCATCCAGAACAGAAAGCACATTTTTCCCCCCATCCAAATTCCTACATTCAAACATCTCACTTAACAGAATAACATTAGCAGATACGGCAATAACATTTAGAGATACGGCATCCAAGACAGATAATCAGATAGGCAGTCAGACGGTTGCAGAATTCAGCACAATTTCAGCACAAATTAGAACGTTACTGTGCTACTCAGGTATGTTTCGAGACGATGTCAGATACACCCCTGAAGCAAATATATATTGTTCTATATAGGCCCCCAAACAGTCTATCATTCTGTATATAACCATAAGTCAACACCAGATATTGCCAAGAGTGCCATGTATTTCTGAATATTTTCGAGAAATATCCTTATTTCTTGCCAGCTCGTGAGTAATATAAATAACGAATAATTGATGGTGATGTGATGAGCCATCAAATAGGCATGTATGAAATAGGTGTGCAATACATTCCAAAAGGAATGCTTGCGAAAAATAAAAGGAAAGGGTTGATTGGCCTATTTTGATTATAAGGCTGTAGTTGCTATGAGAAAAGAGAGAAAAAAAACACAAAGAAAAAGAAAATAGCCACCAGAAATGCTTTTAAAATACATTGAGCTTATAATTTAATCATTAATACACCCAAAGACAAGCCCTTAAATACTGATATTAAACTAGCAATATGCCTTTTGATGCTGGAGGTAGGAGCAACATGTAACAATTGGGAATGAGATGGTTGGCTTTCCCCCTCTCCCTCCTTCTCCTTACCTGATCTAATCTTCTGAGAGTCTGACAGCTTGAGATCCTCCAGCCCACTGTTAACATGTGTAACATCTGGAACCAGATCTCTACAAAGCTAGCCTCGTTCACTAAACTCCTTGCTATTCTAACTTGGTGAGTTAACCTTTCTGACAATTCCACCTACCAGATACATGAGAACCAGTCCTGCAATGTACACCTGCTTTGCCACTTCCACCAGTAGTCAAATCTTTATAACAAATTCCACAGCTTCTGTACAAGAAACAGAAAAAGAGTGCCACCTTGTCCACCTCATCGGGCAGCAAAATATCTTTAGCCAACCCCAGACAACACTTTTCCTCTTTGCCATTGAAATTGGCCCTGCAACTGGCCCTGACTTAAAGATTTCAGAAGGGTATTAAAAGATTTGCACACACCATTGATCCTCACGGCAGCTTTGTGAGCTAGGTTAGACAGAGACAGTGGCTAGGTGAATACTAAACTATGGTTTAACTAAACCAGGCATAGGCAAACTCCGGCCCTCCAGATGTTTGGGACTACAATTCCCATCATTCCTTACAACTAGGGATGATGGGAATTGTAGTCCCTGACATAGAGATGGCATGAGAGAAAAGTGACTCCCAAATGTCACCAGCTGCTGATGAAGGCATACCTTTGTTCTAATTTACAGTGGTTGTCTCATCATTTTAGGTGCTATACAATTATACGAACCCAAGTTCCTAGCTTGGTCCTGCAGCACAATGAATGCAGTGACCTAATTTCTGCAAGCAGCTGCATCAGTGTAAATCCAAAATACATGGAAACATGCCAGATACACACCAGTGTAATTTGTTTGGAAAGCAATTAGAGCAATGAATGCAAAGAAAAAAAGTAATTAGATAATGTGCTTCAATTATAAGCTTATCATCTTTGAGGGTAAAGAGGCATATTTCTTGCCATACTTAAAACCACAGAAAAATAAAACTGAAAGGGACTTGAACCTGATTGGATCATAGAAAAATATTTATAATTATAATAAAATCTAAGTGTGTGGATTCATAGAGGCAATAAAATCCAAAACAGGTCTGGTTTGGTTTAGATTCCAGTTTCCCAACTATCTTTGATAAGCATTGTTTGGATATAATCAAAGGAGGCTCTACATTGAGTCAGCAGCAGCAGCTGGCTTTATCTGCAAATGGCCTGTATATAAGATAGCCAATTTATGTATTTTTGCCCTCCCCCACAAAAACTAAATGAATCATCAGACAAGAGGACAATAGAGGGCACAGATATGCATAAAATTTTCACATTCTAATTTCAGTATACGTGTACCTTCAGAAAAAAATTACTGTTGTTTTGATAGAAATATAATACACCTTTCGGCTGTGGGAACCAGCATGATGAGGTGTTCTGTGTACCTGCTTACTGTCCTGTCCAAATTTTAACTGCTGATGGGCAACTTCAAGGCTTCTGCTCTCCCTTCCATTGGTTCTAGAGCTTTTAACCAGACTTGGGCTGGGTAGTCCTTCAAATAGAGGACTGTCCTTTGACAGCCTTTCAAATCCCCTGCATTAGTAGGACACATAACTACCCTTCCTGTGTGTTGACTCACTTAAGAGCCATTGGCAGTCTTCATGGGTAGTCTAATGGGAGCCAGTGTGGTGTAGTGGTTAAGAGTGGTGGACTCATAATCTGGTGAACTGGGTTCGCTTCCCTGCTCCTCCACATGCAGCAACTGGGTGACCTTAGGCTAGTCACACTTCTCTGAAGTCTCTCAGCCTCACTCACCTCACAGAGTGTTTGTTGTGGGGGAGGAAGGGAAAGGAGAATGTTAGCCACTTTGAGACTCCTTAGGGTAGTGATAAAGCAGGATATCAAATCCAAACTCTTCTTCTTCTTCTTCCTTCTTCCGGGTGGGAAGGAGCATAAAGAGCTTCCTGAGTCTGCCCCACACAACGTGAGTCTTCCTGAACTCTGCTGTGTTCCTGTATCCTTGGGTTAGTCTTTAGTACTGGCTTTGGCTTGCTTCTTGACAGCACCCTCCGGTCCAGACTTGTTCATTTGTCTCAACTACAATGGTGCCTTGCAAGACGAAAAGAATCTGTTCCGCGAGTCTCTTTGTCTTGCGGGTTTTTCGTCTTGCGAAGCAAGCCCATTAGCGGTTTAGCGGATTAGCGCTACAGTATTAGCGGCTTAGCGGGCTTAGCGGATCAGCTGATAAGCGGCTTAGCGATCAGCTGTTAAGCAGCTTAAGGATCAGCTGATAAGCGGCTTAACGATCAGCTGATAAGCGGCTTAGCGATCAGCTGTTAAGCGGCTTAGCCGATCAGCTGATAAGCGGTTTAGCGGCTTGGGAAAAAGGGGGGGAAAAGGAAAAAAACCCCGCAGGAACTCGCAAGACATTTTCGTCTTGCGAAGCAAGCACATAGGAAATTTGTTTTGCGAAGCACCTCCAAAACGGAAAACCCTTTCGTCTAGCGGGTTTTCCGTCTTGCGAGGCATTCCTCTTGCGGGGCACCACTGTAATGACGGGGTGGTGCCGTGGGTTAAACCACAGAGCCTAGGACTTGCTGATCAGAAGGTCCGTGGTTCAAATCCCCGTGACGGGGTGAGCTCCCATTGCTTGGTCCCAGCTCCTGCCAACCTAGCAGTTCGAAAGCCTGTCAAAGTCAAGTAGATAAATAGGTACCGCTCCAGTGGGAAGGTAAACGGTGTTTCCATTCGCTGCTCTGGTTCACCAGAAGCAGCTTAGTCATGCTGGCCACATGACCCGGAAGCTGTACACCGGCTCCCTCGGCCAATAAAGTGAGATGAGCGCCACAACCCCAGAGTCAGTCACGACTGGACCTAATGGTCAGGGGTCCCTTTACCTTTACCTAATGACTTAGAATCATAAAATTTGTATAGTTGGAAGGGATCATGAGGATCATTGAGTCCAACCCCCTCCAATGCAGGGATATGCAGCTGCCCCATACAGGGATCGGACCTGCAACCTTGGTACTATAGCTCTAACCAATTGAGCTATCCAGGCTGATTTGTGACATGGATTCTGGTTCCTAGCTCACCTTTATTTTATTAATTACTCATTTGCATGCCCAGCAACCACACTCAGTAAAAGTCCCCAAAGCGCTGTGCTTTAGGAGCCTGGAAATAAATGGTCAAAAACGAATATGGACAGATATAGCTGAATAATGAACAACCAGCTCACCCATACAGGTACAGTCTCTCTCTTTTTTAGCACCCATGCAATCACTCTAGTATACATGTGAGTTCCCTTCCTGCCTGGATTTTATCGTGTTTTATTCATTCCTTTTCCTATGGGCAACATCCTTCAGCAACAACAACAAAACCACCTTTCTTTGTCATCCATCTGCATTCCAAATAACAGAGGACAAAGCGATTCACTTAGCACAAGTAACATGCATATTTAACTCTGCACATTTGTGATAATCTCAGAAGTGCTTCTCTAATGCTCACATACATTTCCAGTGTCAAATCAGCACTCGCCCCTCAGCTTTTGCAGTGAAATAGTAGTAAGTGACTGTTTTGATTCCTATGAAAAACACAATTTAAGCGAAAGCGGAACCCTTTTATCAAAAGTACAAAGGACCACTTAATGTTTCTTAACCCGGAGGGCAGGATATTAGCCGCATTCTGGCACACCGACCAACTCCACTAGTGTTGCTTGCATTGTGCATTGCTTCTTTTTTTTCTAAAGAAAGCAAATGAGGCAAAAGGATTGAATATTTTCTTTAATGCAGAGAGAGAGAGCAGGAATACAGACCATCCTAACATTGCTGGTGTCCAAATTAACTACACTATGCACTGAGTAAATATTAATTGGTTTGTTATTTGTTGTCTTCACCTTACCCTATCAGCCTTTCCCCCTTCAAAACCCTATTTCAAGGGTCACCAGTGTGGTGCCCACAGGTACACTTGCCCTGAAGAAGCTAGGTTGCCCTCTCCCCCACCCTTTCCCCACTTAAATTAGTCTTGAATGAAGTGCTCTATTATACAGTGGTAACTCGGGATGTGAACGGGATCCATTCCGGAGCCCCGTTCGCATCCAGAAGCAAATGTAACTAGTGACGGCACCCCTGCGCATGCGCGCATCACTTTTCGCCGCTTCTGCGCGTGCGTGCGACGTCATTTTGAGCGTCTGCGCATGCGCAAAACCCGGAAGTAATGCACTCCGTTACTTCTGGGTTGCCATGGAGCGCAACTCAAACGCGCTCAACATGAAGCATATTCAACCCGAGATATGACTGTATTCAATAGATTGTGGTGTTCTCGGTAGTGGGGTTTGTGTGTGTGGTGCCCACAACAGTTGTATCTGATTTGCAAATCTGCCCATAGGCCAATCAGTGATAGTGTCTGCTGGTCTAGCTACAGCAGCAGGAATTTACCCCCCAAAAGGGGGGCAGTTGGGAACCTTTTGGGGACCACTATTTAATTCCAAGAAAGGTAGAAAGCATGAGGGCAGCACTGCAATGTGTAGGACGTTGGGCAGCTGAAACATCAGGTTACCAGTTCTCACTGAACGTAATATATTTCTGCAGATAGAGGGGAAAATATGAATACGCAGAGCCAGCCCTACCATTGGGTCATGTGAAGCAACAAAAAACAGTGAGAGCCATGTAGCTTGCCCTACATTCCCTATGCTCCTCTGCTCCCCTCACTTGTGGTAGTAGACTCTTATCCTATTGTCAGTGGTCAGTGTTTGTACACAGAATAAGGGTGGTGCCATCTTCTACTTATTCTTAGGCAGCAAAATGTCTTGGGTCAGCCCTGACAATAATGAAAGAGCTGGTAGGAATGGATTCATTCTTGTCTCCAGATTCTAGAGCTTCCAGAACTGTTATTTTAGCCCAGAGTTGGTGAGCTGGATTTGTAAATCCAGTTAGAATGTTCAGATATGCAGAAGAAGAAAATGTCCATAATGACCAACCCACCCAGGAAAATGTGAGAACGGATGAGGGCTCGAATGCTGTGTGTGTGTGTGTGTGTGTACGTGTACAGTTGTGATTTGAGTTGTATGAAATCAAATCAGCACTTCAGTAGCTGAAATCAGCACTTTAGCTTCTGAAAGCCAACATATGAATAACGAAAGTTTAAGAGCTTCACTGGGGAGAGAAAGAACCATTTTTTTAATGAAAAGTGCCAGGCAACTTAAATATAATTGCACTCAATAACAGTTTCATCTTTTAAGAGCAAAGCCTAGGAATAATGAAGGCACCATTTATTTAAACGTGGTGCTAAAACGCATGACAAGAGAAAGCTTTAAGGTGTATTACGGCATAGCATGGTTGCTGCTTCCTTAGAGCTGCTATTAACCTTTCTTTGAAAGGACATTCACCTGTGAGTCATAACTGTATCTGAAGAGGCATGCAAAGGTGAAATGGAAACTGGAATGAAAACATCCTAGAACTGTAGGCAAGGTTGGCTCAAGACATTTTGGCACCTGAGGCGAACAAAAAAAAAATGGTACCCCCTTCAGCCCTTGGCCAGGGAAGAAGGAATGAGCAAATATCTACAGTGGGAACAAGGGAGTTAGTGGAGATCTACATCGGGAACAAGGGTCTGCCTTACCTGACGGTTGAAGTGGAAATCAAAGGCCATTATGGGTGTGAAAAGGGCCCACCCTGAACCATGCTGGGCAGGTGCAAAGCCCAGGAGATCCCAGAGGGCAGGGCCCATCATTTTCTCCCTAGGGGTGGGAGGAGACTAGGCATGCCTCCTATTTTCTGAGGTGCTGCTGAAGAGAGGGCACTGGGGAGGGGTCTGCTAAGGCGGCGGCAGACCCAGCCTCCAAGGAGCACACCTCAACTGTTGCCACCACTGCAGCAACACCAGCAGCAGTGGGTGATGCATGCCTTGGAGGTCAGATCTGTTGCTCCTGTGGCTCTTGCTGCCTGAGGCGATCGCATGCCTCAAGGAGCGGGCCAGCCTTGATTGCAGGGCTGTTAAGAAATTTGAAACCAGAAATTATATCAGCTCAGCCTGCAAAGACAAATTTGCATACCCTGCAAAATCTAGCTGTGTGCATGTGTACATCTGCGTACATATGTACTCCTCCAATGAACACAGTAATCACTGCAAGTGAAACATGATTGTTTTGGGATTAGGATTGACACAGTGGACCAGTCCCATGTCTATAACTTGCAATATAGGAAACACACCTCCAAGAAGAGGATGTATGGTAGACATGGTCAGTTTGAAGAGTTCCGGGACTCTATGCTTAACATGTTGCTGATTATAAACCATATTTCCAACACTGTCAGCATTAACATAAACAGATTATATTCTCCTCTTTGAAATGGCCTAGGCTACCATTATGCTGAACACTTCTCAAAGCTAAGAGCATGGCTGCTACTGGTCACCTGACATGTGCTAAAGTGCTGCTGGCCACTAGGTGGACATGCATTCACATCCCCATTAAACCAAAGGATTGTTTTGATGATAATATGGGACAGTACCCCTATGCAATGCTCTGAGCTGGTGTTTGAAAAGCTAGTATGATAAATGTGTTCTGTGTGACGGGGAATTGTACTACATGCATGCTAGTGACAAGATCTGTCTACAACCAAAAAGTGTCAGGGCACACGTCTATCCTGGGTGACTCTTCCCTGTCCTTAGCTGCTGGTGTAAAAATGTGATTTATTTAGCTTAAATTAAAATACTAGTGCAATTTAATAGAACTGAGTTTTGAGTAAAATACCACTGAGTTTGGGGGCACCCAGAAATAGATGTACCAATAGAAATACCATGCACTCAAGACTAGTGATGGCCCTTGCCTGTACCAGGGCTACTCCAAACACCATCTTTATTGTGATGATTTGTTATCATTATAGTATCAGGGCGGTTATACACGATCATACATTCAATATTGCTTATGCCTGAGGAAGTTTCAAAGCAGCCATACTGCTGAGTTACTAGTCGGTGTATGTCCCATAACTTCCTGCAGTAATCCTGTAACTTTTCATACCACAAACGCTCCAGTTTGCTTTATTTTTTTGTTTTGGTTTTGTTGCCCTGTGTTGCACAAGTGCCCCTTCAGACGGCAATAACGCCATGACATTGGGGAAGCTTCTCAGAACAGCTAATAAAGCAGAACGGTGTGCAAATGGTCCAGAAGAAACCCACCACAAATACATCCATGACATGTAGCAGAATACACCCACAAGAGACACTCTGAGGAGGGAAGCAAAACCTCAAATAACGGCTATTCCTAGTAGCTTTCACTAATAAAAACCTTGACAAGGCATCCCTAAAGAAGAAGAATTGGGGCAGTGATTTAAAAGGAACAGGTTTTCCTGATAAACATGGACAGTTGGGAGCATCATGGTAGTCTGCATAAGATCTGCTCACACTGGGAAACTCCCATGTAATTATCACCCCCACAGCAGGAGCCATAATTTGGCTCTGGCCTTTCTCTGCAGTACCAGCTTACTTAGCATAATTATCAGCCCATTCACCCTGAAGGGGTAAAGACCATTCTTCCTTTTCCTGCAGAAGTACTGAAAAGCAGAACAGTGATGCCAGGTGAGATGATGAGAACACTGAGGAAGAGAGCAAGGGCACAACCCCACACTTATGTCATGTTGCTTGAAGGCACCTAGGACTTGGCAGATGCTCTGCAACCCCAACAGAGCTTGAGATGTGCCCAAACCATAGCAGATACACTGGGAGGAAAGTTCTGATATACAGTGGTACCTCGGGTTAAGTACTTAATTCATTCCAGAGGTCCGTACTTAACCTGAACCTGTTCTTAACCTGAAGCACCATTTTAGCTAATGGGGCCTCCTGCTGCTGCCGCACCGGCGGAGCACGATTTCTGTTCTCATCTGTTCTTAACTTGAAGCACTATTTCTGGGTTAGCGGAGTCTGTAACCTGAAGCGTCTGTAACCTGAAGCGTATGTAACCCGAGGTACCACTGTACAGTGGTACCTCAGGTTACAGATGCTTCAGGTTACAGATGATTCAGGTTACAGACGTTCAGGTTACAGACTCCACTAACCCAGAAATAGTAC